CTCTATCTCAGTACTTCGACGATCACCTGATCAAATCATCCCCATGCAACGTATTGCCCGCTCTTATATCTAAAAAAACGCAGGTTTACAATCACATCTTCAATACTAGGATTCTTTGGATTTTTTTTTACGCAGGTTTTTGGTTTCAAACCTTTAACTCCAGGGAATTCAAAATGAATGCGAAGTATGCCCTTAAGTTCACTGAAAATGGGACTTGCTTCAAAATCTTGTCGAATTCTTTGCAGTGATGGATTTTGGCTGACACCATCTTTTTTTAAAAAACTTGATAGAATGTCAGTAGATGTTTCATTTTCTCTGTGTGTGGCCTCTTTGAGAAGATCAGAATATAGCTTAATTCCAATAGAGCCAGCATACTGATTGTTGGGAAAAAACCATACACCATCCTGGCGTGTGCCAGGATGTTCAATCAACATTTTGTTTGCTGGATGATCTTTGAGAAACTCAAGATCAGCTTCAACACCTTGACCATTGTATCCAAAACCATTTGCTGTGTTAACTGCTTCAATTTGAAGCTTCAGGCCATTGCACCATGTAGGCAATGTGACACCTTGAAGGAAGGGAAGATTTACAAGATCAAAGCCATTGAACCGTTGTAAACAGCGTCGGATGAGTGGTTCCAGCACATTTCCCTTTACTGGAGTTTCTGGACCTAGATTCTCAACAACTTGGTTGAACTGATCAAGATACTCTAAGAATTCAGGATCCAAATTTGATCTTTTTAGCTCCTCTTCCACTGCATCAATCACCAGTGGTTCATTCATGATCAAGTGCATATCATCAGAGTCTTCGCTCAGACTGCACAAGGCATGATTCACAAAGTCAGCATTTGAAGTTTGTGCAAATGATATCTTGCCATTGTGAAGCTTGTATGCCAGAACCATGCGACCAAGCAAATGTGCTGTGTTGAATGCCTTATTAGTGAGAAGACTGCGTACCATGATCTTGAGATCCTTTTTATTTTGATTGATTGCTGAATCAACTGCACAATTGAACACATGTTGTTTGGGTTGCATGTTAGAGTCATTCAGTTGACCAATAACACTAGCTGAAAAACGAGGCCGTCCTATAATAATAAGTTTTTGCTGCTTAGCAGGTGGGATTTCACAGTCAGATAAGTCAATAGCATTTTTTAACAGATTATCCACATCTTGCTCATCAAGTGAAGGAAAATTTGTAATTTTTTCAAAGTTTGTCTTCTTGCCAACTGCTGTGTATACATGGTCTGCATCTGCCAGTGACAATGATGTTCCAAGCACCACCAGTGTTGCACACATGTTACTCAGTGTTGCACACAGAGGTGTGAGAAAACCACGCCGGTATTCCTCTTGCAGCTCATTCTTGCAATTGAGGATACTCAACAGCACTTCTAATTGCTTCTCTGGGCTTTCAGAAGGTGATAGTATAGAGGGTGTAAGTAGCTTACCAGCCAGGATACGCTTTGCTGCAACATGGGCCTCATCCAAAACAATCACCAGTCCTCGCTCTTGGCTGTAAATATGCTTTGTAAGATTATCCTGCACATGAAAAAGCATGTCACCAATTGTTGTTTGATCATATTGGCGTAGTGTTCGCACTAGCTTTCCAATTGTTGTGACCCCTCCATTCATCTGTTCACGGAAAAACTGCTCTGGTGTCAGTTCAGGTTTCATCTTGAAAAGTAGTTGTAGGAATAGCAACCGTGCCAGGAATTCAACTTCAACACGTTCTCCTGCAAGTTGTTTCAGACATGTGTCATTGTCCTTCAGTGCCTGAACTGAATCTGGCTTCTGAAGGTTGCTGGCCATCACTTCAACATCCTTTGCAAGGAGAACAAAGTTTTGGTCTGCAAAGTCTGCCATAGCTATACTGCCTGGATCAGAACACACACAGTAAACAACAAAGTGCTGTTTTGCTAGATCGACTACTGTTGCAGTCTTTTCTGCACCTGATCGACCAACCATTGCCACCACCTTGTGATAACCAGTCTCACCAATGTCATTCTCAACAAGATCAAGCAACGTTTTGTTGTTGTTTGTCGTTGGTGCCATTTTCAACATTTGCCCAAACATCGCTAGGTTCATCTTATTTGCCTTCGTGCCATGGGGTAGGGAGTTGCTGAAGAATCGGCCTAATTATGATGAGGAATTACTTGATAAAATTATGACTTATTATCCTGGAACCAATTGACCAAAGTTTTGTGAAAACTTTCCAG